AGTCTTGTCCTTACCAAACCTTCTGCAACTAATATATTTTTTTTTATTCTTTGTAGTTACAATTAGTGAATGTTCATGTACTAGCTAGCACCTGTGCTTCAAGTCTAGCCAGTATGGAGTGAGTGAGAGTCCTAATTCATTTCACAACCTCTGAGAAACCATAGGTTTTAAGTAATAATTGCAAAATGAGGCCTAGAGTCATGTGAGGAATAAGATGATACATCTGAAGTTACCAGAAGCAATAAAAAAACTTTTGGGATTTCATGAATATTTTCTTAATGGATGGGATTTGTTCTTCCACAAGTACTTAGAGAAACCAAATGGTTTGAATCAGAGTCTTCCAGAATCACTGGAAAACATTCCCCCTTAAAATGACTTCACTGCTCTTAAGATATATTATTCAAGTTGAATTGCATGCCTGTAATCCCAGTGGCTCAGGAGTCTGAGACAGGAAGATTGTGAGTTCAATGCTGGCCTCAGCAATGTTAGAAAGATCCTAAGCAATTCATTGAGACCTTATCTCTAAATAAAATACAAAAAAAGGGGGGGGGCTGGGGATGTGGCTCAGTAGTTGAGTGCCCCTGAGGTAAATTACCCTACCAAAATAAGTAAATAAATAAATAAATGCCATATGTTTTATATGTGTGTATATACACACACATATATATGTAATATATGTATATATACATATATGCGTAATTCAGAAGGGCAAGGCAAATGCATAAGTGAGAGAGAGGGAAGGCAAGGGAAATGTCACAAAAAATGTTTGTTTGGTAAGGTGAGGATGGTTCCATAACAGGTATGTGACCTGGAGCCCCATCATGATGTGACATTGATTTCTTAAATTGGAAACTCTCCTGTATGGGAGCAGAACATAGAATAAGGGTTAATAAGTTGTACTTGATTCACTCTCTTTCAGCAACAGCCTCTTGTTGGTCCTTTTTTGAGTCCTTCTCGGACCTCTTTTTCTAGGACACAAAAATCTAGAGAGCATGAATCTAATTTTCCTTCAACCTGCCCATTCCCAATGCTTGCCACATATAAGCAATGTAATTAATGTCATATGGGAAAAATGAGGTGGGTTTCCCCTGGATGCTTATTGAATAAATATATGCAAGTCTCCACAAACCAGTTGTTTGCCGACAGGGAATATGATTCCCAACTGAATAAGTTGGATCTAAAGACTAATTGAGAGAATGAGATTTTTACTATATTGCTAAGGTTATACATTCATTACACATCTAATTGCTACCAAAGTAATATTTGTTGTTGAGAACCTCCTATGTACAAGTTCTCTGCTAGGTACCATGATGGAGACAATATAAAGATACAATGAACCACACCACAGGATTTAAATAAGAATGATGAAAATTATGGTAACAATTGGTCATGACCATTATCATCAGAAAGATATAGATTTAAAAATACATGTGAGTTCAGACCAGGGAAAGATGTCATTTAGGCAAAGCTCTCTGGAAAGTTTCTATGTGAATACTGGCATTGAGCTGAGCCTTAAAATACAAATAGAATAAGGGGATGAAGAAAGGTGAAGAAGTTGGGAAAAATATTCCAATCAGGGATAGCATGAGCAAAGATACACTTTAGTCAAAACTCTGGTGCTTCCAGACCAATTCCCACATGATGATTTTTACTCCCTTTCCAACTCTCTGGATTATTCTGTAATGCCCCAGACTTTGTCTGCTAAACATGGTCACTGGCAGCCACAAAGTCAGAAATGCCTAAGGGAGCCACTGAGGTCACGTTCCTCAAACTTATTGATAACATGTTTCTCATCTCCTTCCTATTCTCACGCAGTTTCAAATCTCTCCTGCAAAGAGAATTTCCTAACCATTTTCTGACATGTAGGAGGAAACCAGCAAAACCAATCTTGGATGATCTTCAGGTATCTGCAAATGCTTATCTTGTATTCTCATGAAAGAAAACAGGGAACGGAATTTAAAAAACAAAATAAGGCTAGTGAATTCCTGAAAGGAGACAGTTCTTTTTCCCTTGGAGACAACCCAAATTATGAATTGCCGTTCTCACCGGCAACAGACTCTGGCTTGAACATTTTTAAAACAGGACTGCTGAACATCTGCTGAGCAATTAATGGAATGCAGCAGCATGTTATAATGGTCCCTGGGAAGGTATTAGCAATCCTGCTTATGAGACATGAAATGTTGCAAACAGTGGTCCTTTTCTTAAAACAAAACAAAACAAAACAAAACAAAAAATCATTTTCCCTCCCTACAAGGGAGATGAAAGGGAAAAGGAGGTGAAGTGAAGTGAGAATTCTTCCTCACTCTTCCTCCTTTTCTTCAAACTTCCTCCTGCTTCTCTTCTAGACACCCAAAAATGAATATGTTCATTTCAAATTAAAAGAAATTGTGGAAAAACCAGGTTCCGTGGTGCATGCCTGTAATCTCAGTGGCTTGGGAGGCTGAGTGAGACAGGAAGATTGTGAGTTCAAAGCCAGCCTCAGCAGTGGTGAAGCACTAAGCAACTCAGTGAGACCCTGTCTCTAAATAAAATATAAAATAGGGCTTGGGATGTGGCTCAGTGGACAAGTGCCCTGGCTTCAATCCCTGGTACCAAAGAAAAAGAAAAAGAAAACAAAGAAAGAGAAAAATTGTGGCAATTATCTCATCCCACAAATCCTTCATTCAAAGTGTCAGGTTTTCCATGTGTGAAAGGAGAACTCTCTCTATTGCCTTTGGTAGATAGAGTCTAGCACCTGTTAAAATATTTTTTGTATTGTTTTTCTAAATCAGATAGCTAGTTCTAACTTAGGATCGATCTCAAAGAAGAAGCTGAACCCTCTTAAATTTGGCTTCTTTGTTACAATTGTTGAAGAGCGCCAATCTTGACATAAGTCTTGGTCAAACCAGTCTCAGTTAATTTCCAAATTCTTAAATTCCTATTTTTCAACTTGTTCCCAGCTCTAACCCAATTCTTACATGAAAATTTTATAAAATAGCATTTAATTTAATATTTCAAATCCTCCCCCAATAATCTGAGCAGTATTTGTCATATAATAAAAAATAATAAGTCAAATGAAAAACAAACAGAAATAATAAACTATGGAAGAGAACTATGAGAGAAAGAAGAATGATGAAGTGTTGGCAGCCTTCAGAGTTGAAGAATTGGAAACATGAGACTAGCTGTCTGTCCAGCTTGACTTAGGATGCTCCCCCTTTCGGTAGATGATTCTGGTAAAAGGAGGGTTTTCTGAAAAATCACACCAGTGCCGAGCACAATAGACAGCCTGAAGACATCATTCAGAAGCTAAGTATGCTATAAAGCAAATTTTAGACCACAAAGGATGGACTAGATAGTGATCCCTTCAAATAGAGTTCAGTATGGAATATCAGATTCAGTTGCTTTTCAACCTCTAAACTCATAGGGAGGAAGTAGCTCCACCGGCCACAGGAGAGGATTATGAGATCCAGTCGGCCTTCTGAACAGAATAGAAAATTTAATTAAATAAGTTTCATACCTCTTTTCAAAGGTCTGGATGACTTCTCAGAGCCCACTCAAGTAAGCACAGGTGCTCACCCTGGCATGCTACATAACCCTCCTCCATGTGGCATATCTATGAACAATGACTTCTAAATATTTATTTCCTTAATGCAATGGAACTTATAAAACAAAAATTTCCATGAAATTCTAAAAAAAGAAAAAGATGAAATCCAAGGGAAAGAAGGTCAGTGGCCAACCTGCTTGGCCTTTCTCTAGACATAGAGTGACTTCTAGGGATTTTGTCCTCACTAATTCCACATCCTCAATGCAATGCCCTGGTGGCTGTCTTTCCCTAGTTCTTTGGTGTTTGGAATGATCTCTTGAATTCAGTCCTATTCATCCTTTGAGATCCTTCCCAAAGACCACTACTTTTATAAAATTCCCTGTATCATTTTGACCATATACAATTAATCTCTGCTTTAAGTTTCCTACATAACTTGGATTTTGTTATTTAAAATAAAAAAAAAAAACATAAAGCATTACCTGAATCAACCCAATCCTCACATGATCCACTGATAAACTAAGGTTATCAATTCTGAGGCACACTGGATTTAGTCTATTATCTCAGCCTGCAAAGTGAGTACTAGAACAAAATTGAAACAATGACCTGGTTGCAAAAATGTAAAATAAAATGGAACTTAAGTGCTTAAATATGTTCTCTTGCCTCTTTATATAAATATTTATGCACCTTAAGTCAACTAAGATGGCCTATCATCCATGCCCCACTACCATCTCACTGCTACCATCAAACTTTCCCATGCCATAATCAGATTATGAGTTTGTAAGTATTTGTACTCCATTAAATGGCAGCACAGTACTCTGTTAAAAAGAAAGTAATTGATAAATATTGCTCTTTTTATTTCTTGTTAATACACACAATTATATTTATTTATAAAATGCTTGAGACTATTTGTTTTGTCACTGAAATCTTTCCATAGCCTTAGAAGGAGGATTATTCCAATTTTTTACAGAAGTGACAAAAGCTCAGTGACTTTAAGTGACTTGCAAAATCACCATCAACTTGAATTTTCCCTCCTGACTATGGTCCTATGTGACTTCTATGTCTCTGCTATTTCACCCGCAACACATTGAAGAAAGCAAATCCTTTTTAAGATGAATGATTTTAAAATAGGGCTTTGTAGAAAGAAGAGAGAAAAAAGGTTACTTATAAGATCAATGTTATTTTCAAGAGTTCCATTGAGACGAAGAATGCTATCATGTGAGGAGATGTGTCTTTAGTGATTCACTGACCATTTTTGATAAAGACATAGGAACCATCATCTTATTCTGTTGTCTAACTGGTTCCCATTAAGGCAGAACGATCAAAAAAGTAAACTTCAAAGAACTGGTGCCAAATTTAAGATTAGTGGTGACATCATGTAGCCTTCAAATAAATAAATTAATTTCACACCTCTTTTCAAAGGTCTGGGCTTTCCCTTTGACGGGGCCACTAGCCAGAGTCCTGGGACACAGAAACTGACCTGCTGTTAGGTGAGCTGCATGGACCAGAACTTGGACCCCAGGCTTCAATTCAAAGTGCACTGAGTTTTGGTTGAGCTTATGGATCAGTACTTCTGATATCTGAAAGAAGAAGTGTTATAGTTAGTGCTACCAAAATTGTTAACACTGACCATGCATAAAAATGCTGAGAAATATTACTATTTTTATTGTGGTATCCCAACATTATACCTGTAAATTGTATAAGCAAGTTTTATATGATTTTGAGTTATGTTATGGAGTATGTAGATAGAACTATTTTTAAGTATGACCAGACTTTACATCCTAATTGCTTCAAGACAAGATATTAGTAAATAAGATAATTTCTACTTTTAAAACTTACCCAGTGTTACCTTAGAGAAGTCACTCTCAGTTTTCTCAGAAAACATATTTTATTTGATACACTATTTAAATGTAAACAGATGCTTTCTGAGCATCATTCTGCTGGTAAAATTCTTCATTCCCCCCCCCCTTTTTTTTTCTATTTATCGAGCTTCATTTTCTCCACTGAGTTGCCAAAATGACACTTTTGATCTCTTTAATAATTAAACAGGGCCTGATGGCTTAGTTTGGCAGCAGAGACCCTTAAAGAATGCCCTGGTTGGCAATAGAACTAAATTGCCCTGAAGATGAACTTCTCTGCTGAACAACAGGAGCCTGGGATAATTCTCCATGCACTATGGATGGACACCTGGGATCTTGAGTAATCCCAGTCTCTCAAATGCTGTCATTTGGCAAACCACAGAGAAAAATGAGACTTTTAAAACTATGTTGAAAACAACTTTTTCCCCTCTCTATTAAGATACTCCTTTTCTTGAGTACTGACAATCTTCCAGAATGGTTCCAGTTTATAGGAGGAATGGATTTCTAATCAAGAATATCAAATGGATTACCTGTATGTTCTGTAAGGTCCTTTCCTACCTTATTCTTTTCTCTTTTTAAAGATTATTGGAATATTATTATTATTATTACTATTATATTTTTATGTGGTGCTAGGGATAGAACTCAGTGCCTCACATGTGCTAGGCAAACATTCTACCACTAAGCCGCAACACCAGCCCTCCTATCTTATTCTCATCATTCAATTGGTAGGGACTTGATAGGAATCTGACAATGCTTTTTTAATAAAGGTTTTGTCTGTGAAATACAAACCTGCACATATAATAATATTTAATATACGTCCATATATGCACGTGTAATTGCATAAAAATTATTTTAACTCAAATATGAAAGACTTGTTGTAAGCAAGTTAAAACTTGACCTTTTTCTGTAGAAATTACAACAAAAGGGAACAATGTACTTGTAAGAGAAAGACTTTCCTCTTTTAACCAGGTGAAGCGGTATTCATTTCTTATCCCTGTAAAGGTTTTTCCTCAATTGAGAAATATAAATAAGCAAAACAGAAAATATATTTTATCAGAACAGCATGCTTCTCATTTATAATCTTCAGGAAACTCCCTTCTGAAAATGATTAACTTCCTACACGTGTTTGGTTCCTAGCATTGCTTCACTGGCTTTTTCTGTATCATTTACAAAACTAAGCAGGCTGTGCAAAAATCATCAGGTAGCAGAAAGTATATTTCATGTATTTAACTTGCATCAAAGGACATTCAATAAAGAACACATACTCTGTGGGAAAGAAATTGTGCATAAGAAACAAAACTAAGTGAAATTTACATTCCATACAAGAATAACCTCAATTAGAACCATGTACTTTTCTATTCAAATAAATTACTGTGAGACTGTTGACAGATTTTGACAACATTTTAAATATTTACTATGTTACTTGCAGAAATGCATATCTTGGATTGTGTGCATCAGATCATGAGCCAGTTGCATATATTTTTAAGAATATTATACATGCATTGAGCACTTTATTTTGATAAAATTGCTTCTTTCTGGCTGTTATTCCTAATACTACATGTCTGGTGTCTACGTGGAGTGGAACACAGAGCTTACTAGACAGACCTAAGTTTACCCAGTTCATATTTGAAGAATTGAGATTAGACTTCATCTTTGTTTGACCCATAATCTAGAAAATTTTCATTTTAAAAAAGTCTGTGAACAAGTTGACAAAGTCAGCCAGAGATATGTGGAGAAAGTTCTGGCTAAGTGGGCTTAGGAGATAGAAAAAAAAAAGAAAGGTTCATTTTATTAATTTTGCTGTCATCTCTGATTCATCCGTGAAGCACACTAGTTAAAATACCATCCCCAACGTCAGCTGACTAATATGGACCACAGGAATAGGCAATTCCTAATCTCAGGACTGTCACATTATTTTCACTAGTCTGTATCATTTGTATTATTTGGGAGTATCTGGCCTTTGAGAAGAGTACAATAAATGCAATACACAGAGAGGCACAGCAAGACCTAAATGAGCAGATCAAAAACACTGGCCTGATAAAGATCCAAGTGAAACAATATGTGATATCTGGGAGAGTGAACCTGCCAAAATAGGTAGAATTTACTTCTATTTCTTTTTCTGTCCTGTAAAGTTGTGTTCCCATAATGCACCGATAAAAATACATGGAAAACAAAACACAAATTCTTAGCAAGTACATCCCAATAATTAAAACCAAAACATGAGCTTGATTAAAGGTTTTGGTGTTCATAGCCTTGAAAACGCATATTTTTTTAGCCAATTTCATTTATCCATTTGTCCTCTGTACTGACATCTTCCTGATGCTGCTCTCCTACACAGTTCACTTCCTACTGTACTGTAGCTAAACAATCATAGTCAAAGAACCAGCAAATTATTCCCAGTGTCTACTTATTAGGTAGACTATGCACATGATTCAAATGTAGCCCACACTTCAGTTAAATCACCACATTAGAGGACAGTGGGGATTCAATACAAATAGGATAAAGGCTAGAGGGACCTTATAGAGGAAAAATACCAACTTTCTTCTTGCCTTCTTTATAAAAGATGAAGATCAACCAGGGTGGGCTGAAGAAAGCATGGTAACTTCTCGGAGGCTTGAAACAATAGAGGCATACTTTTTGCTCACACGTGGGATTGTATCCACTGTAGATAGATATTTCTTAATGATCACACAGGGAACCAGGCTGGTGGAGCAGCCATCTTAAACATTTCCATTTGCTATACGTTGGGAGGAGAAAACAGTTCTCAAGGCTTATGGGCACTTGAACTTGTCAGACTGGAAGTGACACGTATCACTTCCAATCCCAACTCATTGGCCTGAATAAGACCTGTGGCTCTGCCCAGTCAGAAGAGATGCACAGGTATGATCCTACACTGCAACACAAAGGCAGTGGGCTGGAAACATTTAGTCAACACCTGTGATGATGACTACACAAATTTAAACCACTTTTAATTAAATTCATTAGGGATAAGCAGTCTCAGATTATCAGAACAAAAATGTCAATCATTGAAACATGAAAAAATAGAAGTTTAAGAACAATAGAGCAATTGGCACATTTATTGAATATGTTGCACAAAGAAGTGGCATCAGGTGAAGATATAGATTTAAAAATGGGTTTGGAAAATTTATCAATGATAAGGCTAAACTTGGCCAAAATATAACGCTTATCCATGGTGTTGGTATGAGGAGCACAAACCCTAATGAACATAAAAAAGCATTGTGGCAAGATAATTGAGATGGAGCCTGGCCTGAGATGACCTCAGAGCTGACCCACTTGGTCAATCCTAATGCTGTCACATTTTAAGGTCCCTTCAAATAGCATTTGAGGAATCTTTCTCTTATATTCAATGGAGGAAGATTTTCCCCAACTTACACAACACAGTGGCAGGATTAAATCACAGGGAGGCAATGCAGCCAAATGCTACCTACGAGTTAACACAGTTCACACAATCCAATTCTTTCTTATCAGAGAAGATTCAGCTTGGTGAAAATACTGAAGGAGTTTCCTGGATGATGTACAAGAAGAAACAAATCAACCACTAATAATTCTTTCTGCATCACTAGTTTTAAACTCCCCCCCCCAAATGTCCGTTTCTTACCTACTCTATTTTTAGTTATAGTTTCCTATTTCAGTGACCTTCCTTGTGAACTCCAGAGTACCTCTGTAATCCAAATCTTTGCATTAAAAATTCAGAACAAAGAAAGTAGACCAGGTGGGTATCGAATACAACCTGGAAGTATTAACTACATTTCATAGTGAATCTTTAGTTTTTTAAAATGCTGCCAATAGTCTATTCTATGTTTATATCTGCCTCTGCTTTTTCCCTTTGATTTTGCATTCTGCCATCTGTCAAATGTGAAAATTAATACAAACAGACAAGGAAATGTATTGTGATTGACATTTTACATGGACTTTTTTTTTGTTCCTTCTAAACGTTCTCATAGCCTTTAAGGATTCTGAAAGACAACACTAAACAACATCATCACCCCAGAACAGCATCACAAAAAAATCTCCCTGAGCACTGGGGCCTTCCCTCCTCCCATCAGGAGAGATGGGTGCAGACTCATCACCCCTGAGGACTTGAGGAAAGCAGGGAAATGCGGTTCTTGGAAGGCCGAGCCTGTTCTGTCCTTGAGCATTTGGCCTCAGCAGAGCAGGATGCACTACCCCTAGAGAGGCCACTGAAGGCAAGAGAGCCTTTTCTCAGTTGCTGGAGAGCTGAAAGAAAGCCTGGTTGGAACCCTCCTGGAAGAAGGTCGCTTGATTAACCCAGCCCGCGTGATCCTGATAACAGCATCAAGTACTATCACAGGGAAGAATTTTCAATTTATTTCACAGAAAAGATAGCTCGATCCAAGCCAGCATCTCTGCTCCCCTGGGAAAGCTCCCAAAGGAAGCTCAGGGAGGAGAGTGCAGGGCCTTTGCTGGGTCTTTACCTCCCATTCTTCAGGGCCCGCTGGCCAGGATCCTTGTTCTTCCCTGCTGGGCTTCTGCACACTTAGGTTTACAAGAAAGAGGCCAAAGCATGAGGAGAGGGAATGAGGTCGGCCCTTCCCAAGTTTCCTCTAAGATTTAGAGTAATCTTCAAGGGAGAGGTTGATTTCTGTTGTTTGGATTTTCTGTGCATTTTTTTTTAAATTTGTGTGTATTTCATTGTATTGAAAGTCAGTTGTGTTTGCCCGCCCAGTGGACCTTCTCCCTCCCCCTTCATCTTTCTGTGAGGGACCAAGTGCCCTGCTCTCAGCCCTTTTTGGTTCAGGAAGGGCTGCCCTAACCCCATGAGGCAGAGAACACATAAAACACTGGAGTAGTTACAGAAAGCACTCTGTCCAAGCCTTCAGGGATTGGTTAAGAGATCCCACTTCACCCAGGCTGGACTGGTGAGAACTGCAAACCAGGGGCTATGGCTGGTGCTGTCTGTGGGATGGAGTTGACAAAATGGCCACATGGCAGTTGGTGCTGGCTGTGGCCATCCTTGCTTTCTATGTGCTGGCTTCATTCCAAAACAGGCTTCACATATGGTAGTAAGGAAAACAGAGAGAGAAAGAGAGAGGGAAGCAATTTGTAGACACTTCTGAATGGCTCTGAATTCATCCATGCCGGGACTGCATCTCTGGACTTCTAAATTAAGTGAGTTCATAAACTCACTTGCTTTCCCCGGGAAGTTATTTAAGAGACTAAGTCAGAACAGAGGCTCAAAAGATCCACCTAGATTGAAAATTACAGGTTTCCAGTGGGCAACCCATTTCACAGGGCCTCCAGAAGTGTGTTGTTTTAAAAGTTGATTTACTGTACTTTTCTCTCAGGGTAATAACATTATGCACAACCAAGACACCAATTTCTCAGGGGCTCTGTGTGGTCACCATGTTTATTTTGGTTTGAGTCCTGGAAGAGACTGCAGCCATCTTCCTTAATCAGAGTTACAATCTCTAGCTTGGTATCCTATTTTCTTTTAAAATGATATAAATAAGTCTTCTGTTCCAAATTTGCATAATTTACATGGGCTCACATCATTAATATATGTTCTTGCCTTTTTGTATTGTCCTTGTTTTTGTCTCCATTTTGTGCAATCCCATTCACTATTTTTTTTCTTGCTTACTTTCCACACTTTCTTACAATATACGTCCCTGACTATATGGTCCATTTAATAAGCCTTAGCTGTTTTTTTTTTTTTTTTTTTTTTTTTGGTACTGGGGATTGAACCCAGGGGGGCACTCAATCACTGAGCCATGTTCTCTGTCCTATTTTGTATTTTATTTAGAGACAGGGTCTCACTGAATTGCTTAGCATCTCATTGTTGCTGAGGCTGGCTTTGAACTCATGATCCTCTTGCCTCAGCCTCCCGAACCCCTGGGATTACAGGCATGTGCCACCGTGCCTGATTAATAAGCCTTAACTTTGAATTTGCATTTCCACATCTCTTCCTATTATAAAATAAGCATAAATATAGCTATTATTAACTTGCCACTTATGGAGTACCTTCTATCAACCAAATTCCCCACTGTATTATTTATTTCATCTTCTCAAACACCCTATGGAATCGCTGTGACTTTGGCTACATCATTTAACTCTTCTGATCCTTATTTTCCTCCACTATGAAACAGACACATGGAAATCAGAGCTGAAACTAGAAGCCTGGTTTATATTTCTCTAAACTTGTGATCTTTCTTCCAAACGGCTGATGTCCCCCCCCATGGGTGCTGGGTGCTATGTCGCACAGTCTTTCTTCAAATGAGTCAGCTGCCTTAAGATCTTTGATAAAATGGTTTTTCAATGACTCATTCAGGCTGCCTGAGTACCTTCCCTCAGCAACCTGTGTGCCTCTGTGAAGGAAGCACCCAGAAGAGACAGAGAAGAGAGGGAAAGAAGTAAAAAAAAAAAACCGGCAGTCAAAGCAAGATACATTCTGCATAAACATGTTTAACAAATAGACCCTTCTTTCCATGTTTCCCCTCAAGGAATCATTGAGAAAATATTACACTAAAAAAAGGGGGGAGGCAGTATGAAACATAGAAATGCATGGATGATGTCATGCCTGGGAAAATATCTGGCTCTATCTCTGGACTCTCTCCCATACTTAAAATAACTATAATCTGGATTTCATAGAAAACTCCTAAAATTTCCAGAAAAGGAACAGCTGCAAATGTCCATATCTAAAGAACTTGGATAAGGATTAACTTCCCCCTCAGGTTCTCAGCATTCTGTGGTAAGAAATAATTCATTCTTTCTCCTATTACATTACAGTGCAGATAATAATTTGTAGAATATAATGGGAAGCTGAGCATGGCAGGGGGCAAGGTCAGATGCAAATCCAACAAGTTACCTCTGATTGCATCTGGCTAGGAAATGGGTTCATCCGGGACTTCTGGGACAGCTATGTTCTTCATGACTTAGATACAGAGAAAATTCGAGAGGCAATTTTTCTGATGGGTGAGAAAGTAGCAGCTCAAAGGAGAATATATGCTCAGAGGTGGGCTGAGCTTTAATTTGGGGTTGTGGTTAGTAAGGGTATTGTAGTTCGTAGGCCAACCTGGAAGACTAGAGATCATGGGACTGGATTATGGGTTTATTCAAAGTAAATTAAAAAGCTCCAAGTTCTTGAGGGGCCAAATCCCGTGCTTATTTAGTGGTTGAGAGGAATCCCTTTTTAAATCTATGTTCCTGGAAGAATTGAGAAACCCAAATCCTTAGGTTTTTATGAGAACAACAGACCAAGACTAATCATTTCAGTTGAATGGATAAAGGAGAAAAACATCTTCCTCAATACAGAAGGAGAAGAGCCTTTTGAAGTTAAAAGGATGAGAAAGAAAAACAAAATGACGAAAGAGGGCAGGAGAAACACACACACACACACACACACAGAGTAAGACTCCAGAAGTGAACAAAATGAAGAGAAGGTGAACCTTCACATAGCCAGAAGAGGAGCTCTAGAGCAGATATCACACAATCGTGAATACAAATCAGATCATCTTAGCACAGTGATAATAAAAGGATCAATCTTTGAATCAAAGCTGTAGCTTTTATAACAGGTGTCATTAGACTCCCACGACGCTCAAAATGAAAGAAGTCAAGTAATTTCTAAGTGGGCTTCTTGTCCATTTGTCAATCAGCTACTTGCTTTTTTCTCATAATGTCTTGGGCATGTCTTCATGCCTATGCACATAGATTTCTCTAACTAATCATAAATGCTGTCGGGTATTTTTCAGTATGAGCAATTCAGTCCTGTACATGTTGATTTGGTGAAACTACAGTTAGGGCCACCAGTGTGTGACTGAGAAATGGAGAACCAGAAAGCTGAAGACTCCCCAGAAGAGATGGTGCTCCTAGATCCTGCTCCCCAGAACCCCTCAGAGCGGCTGTGATGGTGGAACTAGCAGTGGGGTGACCCAGACTGCAAGCAGAAGCTGAAAATGGTTGCTAGGCGACTTACCTGCTCCAGATCCTCCAGTGACCTTTTGTTTTCTCCTGTTGGATCCTGGTAAGGCAAGACAAAGAGCTCGGCAGTGGTGGGTAAACCAGGCAGTACTGCCACCAGGATGTGTTGGCTTGGAATTCCTGTGGCCTGAGAAAGAGAGGCTCGGGTGAGTCCTGCAGAAAATGATGAAAAGGAACCAGGTATTCAGCTGGGATGTGGGCTGAGGCAGAAGACCCAAGGAAGTATGTGGGGGACATGAAGGCAGAGGCCTGGGTGCTCTTGGCAGGAAGGCACAGGAGAGGCACCCCTGGATCACAAGTGCAGACTCCAGAGAGAGCCACAGAGGTTTCTTCCAGCTCCGCCATTGTGAGACTCACCCATCACTTATCTTCTCACTGCCTACACTTCCTTGAATAGAAAACAGGGACCCTCACTAACTTCTTTATCTGCTTCCCTAGGCCATCATCCCTGCTATCCCAGCTTCTTTCTTCGTCACCCAAGTGGAGATACTCTTCAAATCCACCCGTCATATTCTAATTATCAACCCAAGTAGGACAGCCCTCAGGGGCTCCTGTTCACTTCTGTCCAGTACCAGAAGCTGATGGCCAGTCCTGCTCCATGAAGCACTCTGAGCCCTTCACTTGCTGTGCTCACGCTTCTCTTAAAATTAGAGATATCACTCAATTTCCTCTTTGCCTTTTTCTAGCTTTCCCTTAGGCTTATATCCCAGGGTGTCCCCCAATCCCTCTCTCTGCACAGTTCTAGGATCAGCAGTCATAATCCCGTCTTCTCTCTTCATGGTCAGTCAGAACACACTGCTTGGCTGTTTCACTAGGGACTTCCAACAAATATGTCAAAAAAAAAAAAAGAACTTGCCATTCCATTCCACCCCCTCCATTTTCATTCTATCTTTAAGGTGACAGGAAGTAGGCCCTTCCCAGATTCTCTAGCCCGAAGCCTTTCACTCACCTCCAGTATGACACCCTCCTGACTCTGTTACATGCAATCATCCTATGAGACCCTGACAAGTCCTCTTCCACACTAATGATCCTACTGATTCCTTCTCACTTAAACATCCACCACTGAAATCCCAATTCAATCTTTATGTGCATCCCATCAAGTTTTACCTGTGTTTCTCTGTGTGCCTGCCACCTCCCTCGGGATGTCTTCTCTCTCTGTTTGCAGATAGAACTCTGCTTACCTTTCATGAGTCATTTACAAATCCACACATTTCAGTACATCGGTCCCTAGTTTCTCAAGTAGGTGACTGTCTTGGAGCTACCTTTTTTGAAGTAGTCACAAATTTTCTATGCATTTGATTCCTCGTCGTGTGCCTGGAATTTTGCTAAGTAACCTATAGATATTGTTTTATGCAAAATAAATAAATAATAAAGCAAGCAAGTATAGTTCCACCTTACTTGGATGGTAAAAAAAAATCACATCACAGGTTGGTGCCTCAGGATGCTCACTCTGAGTTTAGTGTTCAGGGAACTTAGTAAGAAGAGCTTGAGAACAACACTTCTGGGGTAGGGTAGGTTAGCAGGCATGGACACGGGAGAAACTGAGCAGCCATGTAGGTCCAGTGACAGCCTCAAAGGACCTGTGGGGAGACAGGCTGGCCTTCAGAGTTTTTGTAGGTTGGGCTGACATGGCCAGGACTTTGTGTGCATAACCATACCTGTCCATCACTCGACTGGAGCTACCCTGTGAGATGACATGATCCAGGACAAGGCAGCTGAAGCCTCTGCCCACAGCTCCCTAGCAGCTAAGACAAGTCCCTCCTGAACCAGGATCTAGGGATGTGTCCTTGTCTCCACCCCAGGAAAGATGGGTGTTGAGGGCAAGTTAGATAGTGGCTCAAAGCCATTTAGGAAGAGGCTGTGATGCTTATGAAGCTGCATTTCATGGTGAAGCCTGTGATGGTAACCTGAACTCTAGGCCGCCTTTCTCCTGACACACACACACACGCCCCAGCTCCCATTACAGCTGAGCACATGCTGTTTAATGCCCCTATTAGATTGTAAACTCAGAGATTAAATTAAATCATCCTCATTATAACAAAAATGCTTCCTGAATGACATTTAATTAAAGATTTCATCACGATATGTCAATAGCAAAAGCCAATTTGATGAGGAATGGACCACTAATTTTATACCAAATTCTGTCACATAAATGAATAGGAAGAAAACTGCCAATAAACCGACTCTAAGTTGTACATTTTATAGGGATTGTGAGGGCACACTTGGCAATGTGTCCCTTAAGACTTAGGAAAGTAGCCAAGTGTAATTGCTGATCTCAAAGACAGGGTTCCAGGGGACCACAGGCTGGATCAGCTGCCTACTGGGATGGAGTAACTGGAGAGTTTTGGGTACTAAAAGATATTACCACCCCCCCCACACACACACACACCACCACCCTGTCTCGAAGGATGCTGAGCAACAGATTTATTCTTGTTTAGCTGATTATAATATGCAGCAGCCTTAGGAATACTGATGAGCAGTGGTTTCTGGCCTACTGGACAGCTGGTGGGAAGGAGGCGGCCCAGGGCATCTGACCTCTAGATAATGTGAAGAGAAATCAGTCCAGAAGGCTAATCACTGCTGAGCTGGTGCCTGAGCTGGTGCCCACAATCACCTGGTGGGTTTGGATTATTGCCTGGGATACTTAGGTCCCTAGGGGGTCCTATGTCCCTAGAAGGTTGCAGAGTTAACCAGGTGGGCTGTGGGTTCATGAAAAGTTGTAAGTCATCTCGCTTGAATAGCAGGAGAAAGAAACCAATTGTCACTCCAGGGACAGATGGCTCCAAAGGCAGAAAGTCCTTAGTCTAGTAGCTGCTCTTCCTGGTAGCCACAGTGTTGAAGCTTCAATAATGGCATGCCTGATGAAGCCACGGAGACAGAGGTGGACTGCAATTACCAGGAGACACATGAAGATCCCCCCTCTCCACCCCAATATGGCTTCCATCCCTGATTCTCCTTGAAGGAAGACAATAGACAGCAGTACTGTGGAACAGTAGGAAACCACAAAATGGAGATTCTAGCCTTGAAGGTCTGAGCCTGAATTTGTAGCGGCATGACCTTGGGCAAGTTCCGTGACGCCTCTTATACCTGTAAAAGGAGTACAAGCTTCATAGGCTTATCCTTGGTATTTAACATTAAACAGTATGAAGCACTGACGGGAGGGTCTAGGATATTTTAAGTGCTAACTAAATGTCATAAAGGTCATGGTGTGAGGACTGGAATGCTGAGAGGCTGATATGGGATCTCTTTTCTGACCAGGGTTCTCTGAATGTCTTATTACATCACCATTTCCCATCAGTGGAAACGTGTTGGGAGCAGGATATACAGAAACTTAAACTGGATTTCTGTGTGGGTTCAGAACCTCAGGAAAAAGACAGCTCGTGCCTAACGTCCTGGGTTTGTGCACCTAGTCCAAGCAGCCCCAGAGCTGCTATCCCACTGTCCTCACTCCTGCAAGTGGAGTAGGTCGGGGAAGATGGTACTCCCACAAAGGGTGTCTTACCCCCTATTCAGGAACATCTGCTCAGGGAGGGATAAAGTGTACCCTCTTGGATGCTCCTAGAAACCTCAGGAGATCATGTTGCATTACAAAACCCTAGACACTGGACTCAGGCCCTTCATTTCAGTTCTGAAGCTTTGTCACCTATTGGCTGTGAGAGTTTATGAAAGTCTTCTAACTTCTCTGAACCTCAATTGCCTCATCTATGAAAAGAAAATAGTAATAGCTTCCTCTTGATACTGGTACAGGAGGGAAATGTCTTTAAGAGAAGCAGGACATGTGACCCACCATCAGGTATGAGTCCTCACCGCACATAGTGGTGGGGCTGGCACCCAGGCTGCTCTTAGTAATTACACCTGCCCACGAGGACACTCGGGCATATGCCCCTCCATTATTATGCACAGTGGCTCATCTTACACTGAAGGCCTCATCCATCGTGAACTCTGTCTAAGCAGAATCAACTTTGTGAGGGACAAGCACCTTGTGACTCTCTTTACCCTGGTGCCTGCCACAGGCCTGCATGTGAGGGCTCACCGATGACACCACACCTTGGAACTAGCTTCCTGTGGCTCCATCTCTTTCCTGTCCCTTCTTAGATGTTCTTCCATAAAGTTCTCCAAGGACAGAGAGAAAATGTGCCCAAATGAGAGAAGAACTCTTGGCACTCACTTCCACCAGGGACTTTTTGATGACTCTGCTGATGTCCCTCCTCCACTCAGGAATGTCCGGGTTGTAGTCATCCAGGTTTGGAGAAAAGGACAAGCGAAGAGAGCGGAATTCCTCTGGGGATACAACAGCAGGTGGATTACTGGAAGTCAGGTACTTTAGTCAAGCAGCATAAACTTTGCATTTGATGCAAAGCCCTCATGGAGGGTCCTCTCCTTTCACACTCACCAGAGAGATCCTTCTAGAAAGCAAATTTACTATTCCTGTCCCTGGTATCTCATTAGTTCCTGACTTTATAAACCAAATTCTAGGACTCTGGCCCACACCTAGCTCTATAGACTTTGACTATTATCCCTAGTTCCATACTTTGCCTTCCTGGATACTAACTGACCTTGGGGCTCTGAACACATGACATACTTATGACCCCAGGGCCTTTGCCTGTCCTCTTCCTCTACCTGGAATGCCCATTCACCCCACTGTCTTTCCACAAAGCTTTCAAGCTCTAGTTTAAGCTTTCCCGACTGACCTTTCTACCAAACCTCAAACATTTTAATTTTTTAATGAAACTACTGTGTTTTTCACATACTTTTATCATATGATTGTATAACAATAGTTATATAATTACATACTTTTATTTATTATACTTAGTTTATCTTTTGTCTGCAAAGAAGTTTCATTGAAAGGAATTTTAAGCTCCTTATGTTGAGGACTGTGTTTGTTTTTTGTGTCACCCCTGAATTAGGCCCGGGTTCATCTGCATCCTCCAGGAAATGGGTTGGGGATTAAACAAACAAAGATTTTATGAACAGAATCATCTTTGGGAGAAATAGAGGAGGGACCCAGGGGAGGCATGGAGAGCCATCAGCTCACAGGCCTGCAGGGCTGTGAGAGAGAGGAAGAGGGCTGGTGACTGCCCTGCCGCATGCAGAAGGCTCAGCAAGATGGCTGGGAGATGTTGAACCAAAGCTGACCTGCAAAGGAGTCCCCCGCGTCCCAGGAATGGGCCAGCCTCGGTACCCCGGAGACACTCATCACTGGCTGGGACCCAGCCCTAGAAGCAGCAGCCAGGCCCACGACAGTGAGGAATTCTGGAGCACAGCATCCAGGGCTTGTCAGTTTTGCTTCCCAGAGTTGGAAGTTTCTAGGGTGCATTTTTATGGCTTCTATACCTTAACACAGGACAGTGTTTGCCAAAGGACACACCCAGGTAAGCTCTCCCCTACAACCTGTGAGTGACTCCACAGTGAAGTTTAGATTCTTACCAAGCCTTCCTGTTCCCCCACACCCTGGTGTAGACTTACTCTCCTACCCCAGCTCACCTCTGCCTCTCCACATTACAGCATGTAGCTCTTTTCATTGTTCAGTCTGCTAGCAGACTTTCTGACCAACTGACCTCAGGCAGCCTCCTGTTCACCAGACTCAAGTCCCTCCATCTCTGATCCTGTTTGTCTTCTTTATACCTAATATTATTTAATTTGTCTTCACTACATGTCTCCCTAACTGGAATGTAAAATGATTGAGAACAGGGACTATGTTCCTGGCTGTGAGAGAGTGCTAGAACATAGTAGGCTTTCAATTATTATCTCTGGGACATTTAATTAGTAAATGTTTATTGAATAAATAAATGATTAAATTATAGCAAAGGCTCTCTGTTATTTCTATGTTTACTTCTTCAGTACACAGTCCTTATTTTAAGCATGTCCTTGGGTTTCAGTTGGGGCTAAGCGATGTCACTGGTATCAATTATAAATTCAGGAAACATAAAATCCCCCTCGTGCACTTCCTAATGATGCTGATGGGTTATCAAACACATGCTTTGAAGATGCCTACATTATAAGATGTGAATTTATGGCAGTAACCTGATTCCAAAGACAGATTTTTCAAAGCTTGACTATTTTATGAGTCACTGTTCACCTAGGCGAATATCACTGATTCAGTTCTGATGGAGAATAACAAAATGCATGTTAATTAGCAGTGTGGTAAGCGGTGGCACTGAGGATGCACCCACTGAGTTGTAACTTTGCAGCTCTGATGGTATAAATTTATGTCACTCTCACTTTCTCTGCACCTCTCACCAAGCTCTAGAGAGTTATCTACAGGGGACAGTGTTCACCTGAGTGAAAGGACATGGATGATACAGCTGCCTCCACGATGACAGCTGGGAAGTGGTGATGGTGTGGCTGAATTTATTCAATAAACAGGGGCTGCCTGTGGGAGGACTTCAGGCAAACACCAGAAATATAGCTCTTTTGCAGGTGCTGAAAGAGCATTTGCATTTTTTATTTAAAGGCAAATCCATACCCTGGAGCAAATTAATGGAAATAATGCAAACTAGATTTTCTTTCTTCCATTCTACTGGGTTACTCCGGGTAGCAAATTTTGTTTTATTGTGTATGTGTGGTGCTGGGGATTGAACCCAGGGCCTCCTGTATGCTATGCATGTTGGGCAAGCATCTGCTACTGGACTGCATCACCAGCCCCTCCATCTACTTCTCTGTGGAATGCCTTCTTCCTCTGACCATAAGGGTATCCTCTTCCTTTTGACTAAGCTTTAGGCAGGTGTCTAACAGGAGGCCCCTGACCTCCCTTTCCTTGAGCATTTACTCTAAATAACTTGCAGCTGTAATTTCTTTCTCTGCCCCACTGAGATGCTAAAGATCCTAATCTGCTTCAACTCAGGAAAGGGTTCATTATCATCAAGAAATAAAGGTTTCCCTGTCTCCTTGGCTATGAGGGAGGATGGGAAACTAACTCCCCCCAAAGGGTCATTCATTCAAGCAGAGGACTGATCACACTGGTAACTCCATGTACTCCTCAATATCCTCCAGTACTTTCCTATTAGCTAATCCCAGTGTGTTGGGATCCTCTGCCTTTTGTTTCAGTGGAGTTCAATCCTGCCTGTTTAATTCTGTCTGGTGCGATTCTTCCTTAATAAGTCACACTTGTCACTAAAAATTCCAAATCATGTGTAGGACACCTTGGATAACTCATTGGATTGAAGATGAGTTAAGGATGGTTGGTGGCTCCAGAATTTGGTTAAAGGAGGGGGAGACCACTTCCTCTGCTGAAATCTCTAATGAAGAGAGAGAGAATGCATTTTATGTAAAGTGAGTCACCCTGGGATGATTCCTTTAAGGAAACTGCAGAAAGAGGAAGAAGGAACAGCAGTGGGGTAGAAGGTGCACAGAAACTTGCCCTCTGGGTTCAGAATTCTTAGGCTGTTTATTGATTATACTTATCTCATGTTTGCTTATCTGTAAAACAGAGGTAATTACAGATTTTTTCTTGTCTGTTCAAAAGATTCAATAAAACAGATCATATACATCAAGTGCTTAGAACAGATACAGGTGGTGATGAGTAAGTGCTTCATCAATGTTAGTTATTATCACCTTCACCATGACCTTGCTGGATCTGTCATTAAATAGCAGAAATGACTTTAAACCAGTAGTTATCCATATTTGGGTCTCAAGTTCCTATCTGTAAAATGACACCTGATAAGAAAAGGCCAAAACCCTTCCAGATTTAAGGTTTTCTTTGTGATTCTAATGAGGAGGCTGCCCATACACTTAACCAAGAGGACATCTGTCAGGCTACTGGCTGAGTGCCATTAGTGCAGCCTGTGACATCCAAAAGGAGTAGAGAGAGGGAAAAGAGCATCCGATGGAAAAGAAACCAAAGGCAGTCAATCAGGGTGATTTCAGACCATGGGCCCTGGGACTAGGTGGTCTGGGTTGGAAGTCCAACTCTACCTCTTACTAAGTGGGGCAAGTTATTTACCTCCAGGAGAAAATGACTAATAATATCACCTGCCTTATAGTAGGCTTGATACGAAGATTAAATGCATTCCTGGGACCAAGAAAAGAGGTGGGGGAGGAAAGAGAAGCAAAAGTTCTCCCCACTGCACACAGCCACTCTATGGCCACCTGGCAGAGAGGCCATACTCACTGATGGGGCCGAGTTAGGAAACTCTCAGACCTTGTTTACGTCCTGCTACTATCTGGACTGATGAAGTCTCTTCAGGAGGAAGGGAGAGAAGAAAAATCATGAAATCTAATTCCCGGCCGGCCATGCATGGAATAGTGTCCTTGGCCCTGGGGTCCTCAGACATGCTTAAAGTGACCTACAAATGATTTTCAGGTTTTGAACATCAAACTGGCAAGATGAGAACTGAAAAACAAAACCTGACTCTCCACGGAAAGAAGTCCCAAATTATCTCATCAGCATCAATTAATTTACAGAACTGGGGTCCTGCTGCCTTTTCTCGGCCTTTCTTTCTTTCTTGTTCTCTCTTTCGGCACAGCATATACTTTCCTAACCTAAATTTAAATCCTCTTTTCCAACTATTCTGTGATGCATATGAACCCCTTCCATATTAATATTAAATCTTTGCCTTTTTACCCTCTACTGAAAACACCTGGTTCATATCCACCTGAATAGCTTTCTATGCAGAAAAAAAAAAAAAAAAAAAAAAACTTACCAAAATGGTATCAATCTGGATGTATTGTTTTTATATCCCATTTCCAAGCAATGATCACACTTTTCCATTTCAGCATTTTCTGATGCTTTGACCACATTTAATTTCCCACCTTGATCACAAAATTGTCCTGTACATCAGATTGTTCAATAGCCAGTCTACTGCTACGAGTGATATCCACTTATTATGACCCTTCCTTTGCTTTGCTTTTAGTCGAGTAGAGGGTTTTTTGTTTGTTCGGTTTTTTTTTTTTTGTATTTTTTTTAAATGCTGACTTTTGAAAGAGATTTTTAAAAGTAATTTGATAATGGAAGATTTCTCTTAAAGTTGAACTTTCAAAAAATGCTGCAGCATTAGCTCTTTTCTTTTAGAACTGGTTTTAGCTATTCAAATGCTTCCAGCATCTCAAGTGAAATGAACCGGCTTTATTCATAATGAAACCCAGCCTGCTCCACTTAAGGTGAGTGAGCCAACAGTCTTAAGTGCTTCAGACCAACTTCAAGAACACAGAACAGGGCTGGAGATGTGGCTCAAGCAGTAACGTGCTCGCCTGGCATGCACAGGGCACTGGGTTCTGTCCTCAGCACCACATAAAAATAAAATAAAGATGTTGTGTCCACCAAAAACTAAAAAATAAACTCTCACTCTCTCTCTCTCTCTCTCTCTCTCTCTCTCTCTCTCTCTCTCTCTCTCTCTTAAAAAAAAGAAAGAAAGAAAAAAAAAGAAACAAACACAGAACAAACTCCTTCTGGATCATGTGGCCACAGTTTTGTTGGTGAATCAAATTTTCCTAAAGGAGGAGACCAGAATCATCTCAGCTCTTTCTCAGTTGTCTAGGTGAAAGTCTAAGAAGGATTCCCAGTGCTATGGTACCATACATCCTCATCTGAGCATGGGGACAGGGACAGATCAGCAAAGACAGGCACTCACCATACACTGCGATGGTCTTTGTGTCCTGCAGGATGGCATTTCCTGCGGAGACCTGCACTGTGATGGTGTTCATTCCTTCTGAAGTAAATTTGAATGATATGCTTCCCTCCAAGGTGATCAAGGGCTATAATAAATGGGAAACAGGGCAAGCAGAAAGCTGCTTAGTTAAAGTTGAAACAGCAGTGAACCAGCTGGTCTATAACTCTGCAGGGGCTCTTCCTGGTACACTAGCATGGAACTTTCTATGCATCCCCATCACCTGAAATGCAGGCCAGAGGGAGGCTGTCTATTGCAACAATGGCCCCAGGTGATTCTATCCATTTTGGGGGGATTGGACACCTCTCTCCTGGTATCATCCTGACTCTGGACTGGAAAATCAACAGGTCTTTCTTGTTGATGGGATACATGTCTCTCTTTTTTCACAATCTATTTTGATCAAGCATGTCTTTTAATCCAAGGACACTTTCAAATCAAACAAGAAAGGGGATCTCTTATTAATCCAAACTTAATAGCAGCCACAGAAAATCTATATGTTGCCAAACATTCATCTCTAGGGTCTACTATTAATATGAAATTCCAATGGAACACAGCAACCTTGGACACTTAAACTGGACAATAGGTAGGGGTGGGAGGTGTGGCGGCTTCCTGTGACAAGCGCCATCAACAGTTTCCTGGAAGTAGCTTCCGTGAAAATAAGTAGTTATGGGATTGTGGTTTCAGGACTCAAAAAAGAAAAAAAAAAAAAAAGTATTGGAGGAGTGCTACCTGTAACATAAGCAGATGCCAAGTTTCTAGAAGAAAAAATTATTAATCTGCTGACCTCCCATGACTCACTACTCACAAATATTTCTTTCCCATCTTAATTAGTTCTAAAATCAAAATTCATTTAATTCCCTGTATGGTGGAGGGCAGACTAAAGTCCAGCATAAGAATTATTTTTAATAGGGTTGGTTGAGAATTTTGTTTTATATTAAAATTAAGAAAAAAGAAACAATAGGAGGCAGAGAAGAAAGTTGTTCGGTGCTTTCACAGTCTATACCAGCTTTCGGGCAAATAGCATTGATTTCTCCTTTCCCACTGTGGACAGTGGGCCCAATGGGCTACATTTGCATGCATGGCTTCAGAAGAAATCCAGGAGCTTCTTTTGTACTCTGTTGTGTCAGCAGTGGGGGCGAGAGCTTCTTTCCCTATCAGGCTTGCAGCAGGTCTAGGTGCAAGAGAGCTCTCCTCCCTGCATGTGCACAGCTACGTCTCCAGTTAAAGCCAAAATTCAGTTCTCAAAGAAAATCACGTTTTTACTAAAATGAGGTGGATAGCATTGGAAGAGCAAAGCCACGGAGTGAATGTAACTCTTGGAAGATGATAGAGCGTCCCTGTCCAGGGAGGTTCATCTGAGTGCCCTATTGGGAAGGGATGCTTTGGGCCTTAATCCCACTACCTTACTGACATTTGGAAGCATTTAATCTTCTGAGAGTGGAATGAGTTCAAAACTGACAAAGACCATGCAGCCTGGAGGGCAGGAAAGAAAAATGAATAAAGGGAGCAGAAGGCCTGGGATTTTGCCTCTCTATGAAGCACCTAGAAGAGATTGGAGGAAGCTACTTCTGCTGTAGCGGCCTCACTCTTCTCATCTGCAAAAGGAAAGACTAAGAGTAAATGAAGGTTTAGGTCTCTACTGGTTTTAAAATTATTGCTGACTTTTGAGTACCAGGAATATTTACGGAAAACATAAAAGATGAAGCTGACCTAAAGAAAGGACGTGTCTGATTTAGGATGTGAGGTCATTGTGTGTGTGTGTGTGTGTGTGTACATGCATTTATACGGCAGTAGGGAGGGGGTTGTAATGGATATGGGTTGCCTCTTTGTAATGAGATACTTAACACAGACCGCCTGCTGGCCCTGAAGCTAGGGCTCCCCCTGAACTCTTGCATTCATAAGCCATATTCCCTTCTGTTTGGCTTCCGCCAGCATAAGCCGAGCCTCAGTCACTAGCCCTGTACAGAAGGCAGACTCACCTCCGTGTTGTTTCCATACCACCACACATAAGTGAGGGTGCCCACTTGGCTGGGCCACAGCACCGCAGTTGCATTGACCTCCTTGTTCTTTGTGGTGACAAAGGGAAGAGATAGGTGCACATGCTCCAAGGGACCTAAGACACAAGACAAAGAGGGGCCATGGAGAGGGAAGAGCTTCCGCTGCTCTGCCTTCCCTGCTCTGAGAGAACGCATATTTACTCAGAAGCCTCGCAAACATCACAGCCACCTTCCCTAAGGGAAGTGCCCGGTGCTCTCACCACTTTGGAGAACAGAAATATATTGCAAACAATGTCATTTGTATTTACAGATCTAACTTCCAGGTCTATAACCTGAGTTACAGATGTGTGAAAGTTAAAAAAATGTACAAGTAGTTTATGAAGTCCTTAAATGAACACACAAGATTTCACAGGGAGATGCAAGGTCTTTCCAAGAGATTATAGCCTTGGTGACAAACCAGAATCATGGGGACCTGCCGAGAATCATATTGGGGTGAGAAGTAGGCAAATCCCCAAATCATTCCACAAGTAATTTTTCTTTATTATTTTTGTATTTCAAAGGTGTGTGTAGGTGTGCCTGTGTGTGTGAGCATGTGAGTGGGAATCTGCCTGGTAAGCATGGAACACACTATATTTGGGGCTGAGTTAGGCTTGCCCAGGAAAGAGGCACACAGGAAGGGCTCTGTGCCAGTGTGCTCCAGGCTTTGGAACATGCCCCTTGTTCTTGCCGTCATTGATTGTGCAGATCTTGCCATTGCCACTCACACCTTTCCCCCGGCAGGCACACCTTTGCCCTCTGCAGGGCCTGTGCTTATACACCTTTCTCACGGCCCTGTCAGCCTTCAGGTTTCGGTTCCAGCATCACCTCCTCTGTGATGCTCTCCCTGTCATTGTGTCAATGACAAATAGGACACCTTGTTAGTGAGTCATGGTCACTCATTCAATCAATAGTTCTTAAGCACTTGTCATGGTTTGATATGGGGTATCCCCCAAAAGCTGATGTCTGAGACAATACAAGAATTGTTCAGATGTGGAATGGTAGAATTGGGAGATGCAATCTGATCAGTGAATTAATCCACTGATATGGATTAACTGGACGGTAACTCTGAGCAGGTAGGGTATGCTTGGAGGAGGTAGATCACTGGGGTGAGCCTGTGGGGTTTATATTTTGTCCTTGGGGAGTCAATATCTCTCGCGTCCTTGTTGCCAGATCCTGAACTACTTTCCTCTGTCATGATGTTCTGCCTCATCTTGGGCCAGAGCTGTCAGCCGTCTATGGACTGAGACCTCTGAAACTATGAGCCCCAAATAAACTTCCTCTCCTCAACACTGTACTTGCCAGGTCCTTTGGTCACAGTGATGAAAAAACTAACTAAACAGCACTTTTAGGTATTGAGTATTATCTTAGGTCCCAGAGATATTTAGCGCTTAATAAGCTTAGGTAATTTTAAGGGAAAAAGTTATTGAAAACATAAAGCAGGGCTAATTTTGATGGAGTGGTTAAAGAAGCCTTCTCAGAAGAAATGACATTTGTACAGTGGCCTGGATAGAGTGAAAGATTATACCAAGTGTCTGTTTGTGATGCTCCAGTATAAAGACCTTGAGGAGAAGATGTGCTTTCCATGTCAGCCGACCAGCAAGGACGCAAGAACAGCTAAGTGGAAAGATGGAGGGAAACGTGCAGCCGAGCAGGTCCATCAGGGTTCAAGGACACACAGCACATTGGCCTTGTAGGTTCTGAAGTACATATATATGGGCTTGTATAAGTTTATACTTGCATGTATATACATTATACCTCCATAGAAGTGTGACATTTTTCAGATTTGCCTGGCCTCTTGCCTTTACCTACTTTTCATGGGCATAAAATACCTGGATTTTGCTGTCCAGAATTCTAACCATTAAGCATCTCTGTTCTGAACAGAGGGTGAAGTCTTCCCTAAAGGAGCCACAGAGTAAAATTCCACCCCATGGAAGTCCCCAGTTGATGGTTCCGCTCAAAGAGCTAAACAAATTGGTAGATGCTGCTCTAGCATACAGGTGCCTGCGATGCACAAAAGGGACAGCAGGTGGCGCTGCATCACTCCATATGAATATTCCTGGCAAGATGGTTGAGAGAATTAGGAATTACTTGGGTGAATTGGGTTTCCCTATCATTTTCTTGTATTGCCTTCCCATGCTGCAGGAAACAGCAGATGTCTGTGAGACTGAACATTTTTTTTGTGTGTGTGTTTTGTGTGTGTATGTGTGTGTGTGTGTGTGTGTATACGCGCACACTGACTGCTGTGATCTCCCTCTAGCATTTATGTCCTGAAGACTTCTGAATATTTAATTAAATATTGCAAATATGTCATATTCTTATTTATCTGAAATGATTTTTAAAAAGACACTAGAAGAAGTAAAGGGGATTTGAACTATAAGGAAGATATTCCTAAATCAGACTTTCTCCAACTTCAGCATATTATAAGAAGCATACTAATGTGTTCAAAGCACACTATGATACTACATTTCCTATTATCTTAATTTAGTAGGTTAGGGATAGAACCCAGAAAAAGAAAATTACTATTTAATTCTGAGCAGGTGCCTCATTCAACCACATTTAAAAAAAAAAAAAAAAAAAAAAAAACCTGTTCTGATTTGCCAGTCAATATAATGATGGCATGAAGCCACATGTTTTTTCAAGCCATATGGATAACTTTACCCTAAGGTGGGGCCAGAGAGATATCTGCAAATTGCTCCTATGTAAGGGAGCAGTTAAGGAAATGGTTTGAGGAACATCCACCTCATCTACCTCATCTTCTTTCACCTCCCATCCTGCAAGTTTTCAGAGTCTTCAATTTTTTTTTTCCTGCAAGATGGTTGTGATAGGGCAGCTTTCTGAGCAAAAATCTGCATGCCCTCTAAATTCTCTGCTCCATCCAGCTGAAGGCAATGCTGGCCGCAGCACGTGTCTCATTAGTTTGCAAAACAGCAGAGCACAGTGAATACTATCCCCAAGGAATTTCCAACTGTCAGCCTTCAACAAATTACCCAGGCGCTCCATGAGAGCGGCTGGCCCATTCCTGCATGCATTAAAGCAGGAACATGGGCTCCATTTGTTTCTGATGACCTTTGCAAACCCATATTGAAAAACCTCTGATTTGGAATAAAATCACCTTTCTGCACTGGAGAGTGGAGACAATGTGTATGTAAGACAAGAAATGGGTTTTCTGGAGTTGACCAATGGGGGAGTCAGTGGGACAGAGGCAGAGAGGAGGTTAGCAAGCTTTGTGGCTAGTTCTGTAGCTCAGATGGAAAACCAAATGTTGTTAGTTGACAGGGTACTGCTTGATAGATCTTTTGAGAACAAGATGTGCTTCCATTTGATAGATAAAAAAAAAACCTAGGTTCAGTGAGACAGAGTAATATGACTAGCATTTGGACTTAAACAGCATGTCAAACTCTGTCTAGTACTTTTAAAAACTTTTCTCTCACAAAGCCAACTCTGTCCCCCACCTGCACTGAGGCACTAAAAATCACTTACTACACCTCCCAGGCATTAGAAGTTTGGGAGTGTGACTCAGTGCTGTTCTTATTGTGACTTCCTTTCATTGTAAAACAGTGCCAAAATTAGAGGGCTTCTCCAAATCTTTGTTTTTCTCTACCTGAAAGAAGGGGCCTAAGTCATTTATTATGGTACAGATGTGAAGACAGACAAAATGAGTTTAAGGGCATAGTAAAGCACCCCAGACCCTTTAGAAGAGGTGCTGAGCTAACGTGTCAGAACCTGTGGACCCTGCTGAGGTGTGGGCATTATGGGAATGTGAGCTACAAACAGCTTTAAATGTGATCCTGCTTTAACACAATCTATATATAAGAGTAAATTCTCGTCCCCAAGGCCAGGCTCAGAAAGGGGTTCCATTAATATGAGGAGGTGGGCTTACCCAACCACGTCACCCAAGAGAAGTCTGAAAGATTAAAGTCAGAATACAAACATTCAATCACAAATCATCTCCTGCTATTTTACCTGATCAACCAGGTTGATGGAATGAAAAAACAATGCAGAAGAACAAAGAAACTCATTTCTTTTAGAAGCCTTGGGCTTTGGCAGGCCTTAATCTTGAGCAGAAGTCATCTATCTATTGTTTTCCTTCCCTGGATTTAGGAAATCGGGGAGGGTCCTTAGGGGAAGCAGTAGATCCCTCAAGGGATCTGATCATGTATAGAAATGAGAAAAAGTGCACAGGGGGTCAGGGAGGTTGAGCCAGGGAGGACTCAATGGGAGGCCCTGAGATGCTGAGATCAGAGCCACTCCTGATTTCTAGGTCCAGAGTTGTACATGACTGGAGTGAGGTGAATGCATAATAAATACATGAGAAGTGGACTGCAGCTCCATTTCCCAAGGAGGGTAGCTGTCTAGTAGAAATCCCCCCTCACAGAACAAGTTGTAGGAAATGATAAGCTACTAGAAAGGCCACCATCTCAGCAAATGGACTGTCATTTGTGTCACAAGTCATTTTTTGGTTACCAATGATTAACGTTTGTTTGTGGTGTACCTTCAGAGATTTTTAGATTATTCTCATGATCATCCCTCTTATTGCCCTCAACACTGATGGACAGGGGGTATTGTATCTTGGGCTATATAAGATGGAGGGGAACCTGTGCAATGCATCTTAAACCTGCATAGCTGTGTAGCAAGGAAGCTACTTCCAACCTAAACACTCATGTTTCTTCAGGATGTCTGCCAAGGTAGGGAGGGAGAGAATCTACTGATGGAGATAGTTCCTGCAGCCCTAAGCCACCCTTCACACTGACCCCAACTATAGTGATCGAGAACTAGAATTCCTGAGACTGGCAGGCCTGAGTCTGGGGCCTGGCTCTGTTAGGTAGTACATCAGCTACCTCAAACACTTCACTTTTAGCTCTGTGGTCCTTTGCAAAGCAGGGTTTCTCACTGCTTCTACTTCATAGGATTGTTTTGAGAAGTGTGATAATACACATAAAGAGCTTATAGTGCAAAGCCTACCTGGCATACAGAGGAAGCGCTTAATAAAGTGTAGCCAAAGTGGGGGAGACAGTTAGCAAAGTGGTAACCATGCCTAACTCTGTTTAGACCCAAATAAGGGAGCGTGTGCTTTCTCAGAGAACCCCAGCCATGAGTGTACAATAGGCAAAGATAGAGAAGAAGCAATATATTTGGACTCTTCAGCAACCACACTGTTTCTTGGACATCCCTAAATAGTCCTGTCCTTTCACACAGTTTTTATATTATTCTTATTATTAAAGACAGAGACCTAGATGTTACTTTCATTACTTGATTTTGCTACCTGGGCAAGGTGCAGGGGAGAGGTATAGAGTATTGTCAGGCCTTAATACTCTTTCTCTGGGGACTTGAAATTTGAACTAAGTCTTAATATATATAAAGAAATTACTTTAATGTAAACTATTTTTCTAAGAACCAAAATGAGTCTGAGGACTATGGGGGACAACTTCATGCATTCGATATTTATGACACACAATATACCCAACATAATTTAGTTATCTCATTACATCCAGCCAGGCCTTCTGATTCCTCAATGGGGAAAAGCTACAGCATGTCTTGGAACTCTTTCCTAGGGTAGCTTTCTTAACACTCTTTCCCTCCATATCACCTTCTCTGGAATACCAAACCATCCTTAGACAGTAGCCCAGAAATCACATTAAAAAGAAAAAAAAAAGAAGTGAAAATGTTAAAAGGATGATTTTTAGCAAGACATAACTTGGAAAACAGAAATAAGTGGCTAGGGGAGCAATTCCTTTGCCTGTGCTAGTTTGATTGAACTGTGCATTTCTATTGTTTCTGACCATTTGTAACCAAAGAGCTGGTGGTGGGGGGCCACTCATGCCAAGTTTCAACTGAGACGTTCTGAAAATTGCCCAGGTTCAGGCCCACATGCAGGTGTTATATCTCTGGGGCACCTGGAAGAAATAATCTCACTGTAGTTACAATTTCAAGCAATTCAGATTCCAAGATGGCTCAGATTCCCCTCGTGGATTTTCTTTTTACTTTATCTCTACTTTGCCCTCTGACTCATTTCCTTCCCCACTTCTGCTAAAATGTAACTCCTGTGTTTCTTCTGGATAAGAAATGCGGGATCACATTTTAAAAGGACACAAATTTAAGCTATGTCATAAGCCAACAACAGTAATAACATACAAGTTACATGTAAGTACAGGACGGCGCTGTCAGACCCCAGACTGTTGTCCACCTGCACGGTCACTCGGAAAATGCCCACGTTCTGATAGACGTGTTTGATCCCATCTTCCATGGAGCTGAGATTGACGTAAGACACTGCAATGCCATCACCAAAGTCCACTTGGATGAGTGTCCGCTGGACATCACCCTGTAAAAGAGCCCAGAGTCAGCAGGAAGGGAGTCAGATCTTGGCTGCACTTTCTAGGGGCCTGGGGCTTGTTTTGGTCCTGACTCCTCCAACAGCTGGGAGCATCTGTCTGTTTTGATAGAATCCCTCTGACACTCCCTGGCAGACAGGAATTTGCTAAGATGGATACTCTCCAAACCTGAAGGGAACCAACTACCAGAAATTTCAAGGCTTTGGAAATTAACAGTGTTTGATTATCAGGTTCAATTTGATATTCAATTACTCAAAAAGGTTTCTTAACAGTCTTATCATCCACATCAATAAAAGTTGCACCCAGGTGGCTTCAAAAATTCAGCCTACCTGTTGTGGTCACCAGGTACCTCCTTCGTCTCCTGAGTCATTCTCTTTGTTTCTGATTCCCTAACCATGCTAGAGGAAGGGTAGAAGACACTTAGCCTGACATCAGATAGGACACTGAATTCTCTAAAAATTCAGTATTTTGTATTAATAAAATGGTCTCATTTTAGTCTTCTCAGAATCTGAAGTCTACAAAGGTTTCATCGTTCACTCAGATTAACACAGCTAGTAACTGGTGGACCAGGATTCTGACCTGGTCCTCTGGATTTTGGTTCATCTATTTCAACATACCACTGTGAGTAAAGCATTGAAGCCCCGAGGCTTGAATCCCACTGTGTTATTAACAAGCTAGATGACTTCATACATGTCTATCATTCAGCCTGCTTTGGTCTCAGTTACCAAATCTCTGAAAGGGACACAATACTATCATACCATCTTAACTCAAAAGATTCTTAAAAATATGTGGATAATTAGTAATCCATAAAATGTTACACAAAAATAAATGACTATAAAAACAACACAGCTCTAAAAGACCTATAATACTTCTGCAAAGCTGGACTGGGATTATATGACTCTAAATTTCCCATGAGCAGACAGAAGGTAAAGTCTCTATTCCAAAACCTCAGACCTCTTTAGTTTCTCAAGAAGCAAAGTTGCTTAGACCAAATTGGCAAAACAACAAAAACTAAAAACTTCTTTCACACAGTCCATCTTTATCAAACTATGTTTCATTCTTTTTGATAGTCTTTCCCATTTTCAGATAAAAAAGAAAAAGAAAAAAATACCTTTAAACTAGAAATGTCTTTTTGATTAAGTAAGGTTTATATGGTATCATATTTTTTGAAAAGGCCAAATTTAAAAGCTGATGGTTAAAGGATTATTTCACAGCCAAAGGAAAAGCAGTTCAAATCTTATGAATCTGTGTGACCTACTCCTCTGATCTATGCCTACCCGAGCACTGTCGAGGGGCACACAGCAGCTAACGCTCATTGAGAACCTAGTACAGCTCTCAGGAAACACATAGGCCAAAGTCCTCCCCTGGGGTGGAAAAAGAAACCCGACTCAAGACTATAAAGCAAACATCCACAAGCTCAGGCATTGTGCAATTACTTGAATTCCCTTCACTAATAAATATAAATGTCAACTCTTCTTGCTAACTTGTCCTTCACTTGGGCAACCAGAGTGGACTGATGAATCTGTCTTTGTGTTTCTGGTGAGTTTCCATTTCCAGGTCTTCTGGGTTTTTGACAGAGTGGTTGGGAAGCCAACCCTAGGTGTGTGCCTGGGGAAAAGACCACTTTTTGAAACGAGGGTCTGGGGTAAATATCAGGGGTAGATGGGGTTCTCCAGGGCATGTGACAAGCAGTGGAGTGGGAGAGGGAGAGAGATAAGCTTGGTGGGGACAAAGAAGGCACCAGACAGGGGCCATCGCTTACAACAGGACGGAGGGGAGATTCCCACCTACAGCCAACTCTGCTTCATTCTCCCCTGAGAGAGAGACAAACAGAGAGCGAAGGAGAGAGAAGCCACCCACAGAACGGGCAAGAGTAAAATGTCAGCCAACATCATTTCAGTCTACATTGCTGTGAATTTCCTGCTTGGTATTCACTGTTTCTCTCTTAGACCTCTTGTCAGTTACATAAAACCCCTCCAAGTTCTATCTGTCTGGATTTCATGTGGCCCTCTGGCTTGATAACATTCTGACATCGTGATTCATGATAAAGTTCTCTGTACATACAGTTGGTGAAAGAAGGGAGTTACTCAATGTTTACATGAATGCAGCGATAAGCATCTCTAATGGAAAATGTTTTAAATATTACCATCCAAGACCACAGCAGAATCAGGTTTTTAGAAGATCCATTTACCTATCTATATGTATGCACATACATCTAGATAGACATATATCTAACCTTAATATACATATATGTCACCTAAACACTCACACATTTTGCAGGGAGGTAAATATTAACCACATTCACAACACAAACATGGCCTGGGATTTCACGAGCTTCCACATCATTAGTGAGATAAATGTATTTTAAATAATCACACCAGTAACAAAAAGGCGTGGAGGAGTGTCCCGGGGCGTGGTGAGCTCATACAGTAAGGAGAGCCGGGAGGCTCATGGACTGAGAACTTCAAGGAAGTCTTCCCAGAGAAAATGAGAACTGAGCTGAGAAAACCTAAAGGAAGAAAATAAAGTAACCAAATGAAGACACTGAGTGAGAGAGTGGGAGGTGAGGGAGGCGATGAGAAAGAGAGAAACCGATGTGGAAGGCTCTGTGGCAAGGGGAGATGGTACAGTGGAAACAGGTGAAGGAGACTGAAGAGGAAAGAGTCGACAAGAACATCTCGTAAAATGAGGCTGGGGAGGAGACAGAGGCCTTTTGGGACTTGAGGGTCCAGTTTCTGATTTTGACCTTTCTTCTAAGAGCAATGGACAGCCATTAAATTTAGTGTGCCAAGCAGGAGTTTGGGGTAAGATGCATGGTGATATATGATCTCTCCAGCTACCATGTGGAGGGTGGAACGAAAGGGGTCCACGTATGCTGGGAAGCTAATGAGCAGGTAATTTGGGGTAGATGATGGCAAACTAAAGAACAGGAGCTGCCTCATGAAGTTATCTCTCTCTAAAAACTAACTCAAATAGTTTATTGGTGTCGTAATCAGTTATTCTGAGCATTTGACAGCAGCATCTCTTATTGATACTTTTTTGAATGCTGATGCCCAACTACTCCCAAGAACCATGTTTCATGGTTTCTGGGGAGGATGCTCAGTCTAGTTGCAGATCTAGAAGGTCCCCCATTGACATGGGGCTGTACTCAGGGTTGAGGCCTTCTGGTTCAGACTGTTGAATGCAGGCCTTCTTGTGATTGGATTCATCCAAAGATGAATATGGTATAGCACAAAATGATGCTATTATTAGATTTTAACGTGGTGATAAAGTTTCTTCAGGATGCTTTAGGATTCAAAGTGCTAAAGGTGCATTAATAAAGCCGGGGATGGAAGGACTAAATGCCCTGTTGGTGGACTACAGCACAATCACTCACAGAAGTTCCTGGATATGTGCAGTCAAGATTAGCTGCCTTCTCTAGGAAAATGAGTCGCTGGCTGATACCTCGCTCATTTGCAAACTCCTAAAGGCTGGAATGTATTCTGTTAATGTCTGGATTCAGATAATTATTTGTTCAATGCAGTTTGATTATTGTGCATTTATAATGTTTGTTTATCAAAATGGTATTTTTTTATATATTATCTCATTTAGCCGTTAAGATACCCGGGAGATTGAAAGGCTAGATGCAATTTCTCTTTGATACAGTAGGAAACTGGGGTGGAGACATGTTAAATAAGATTCCTAGAGTCACACAGCTATTAAGAGCATTGTGGGGCTGGGGATGTGGCTCAAGCGGTAGCACGCTCGCCTGGCATGCGTGCGTCCCGGGTTCGATCCTCAGCACCACATACAAACAAAGATGTTGTGTCTGCCGAAAACTAAAAAATAAATATTAAAAAAAATTCTCTCTCTCTCTCTCTCTCAAAAAAAAAAGAGCATTATGGAGGGGTTTTAGACTGTCCATTTAGCACAGTTCTCACTGAGTGTCTTCAGGTGAGAGTTCCTAATAATACCTTTCAGGGTAAGAGCAAGGTGATAACAAAGATGAGGCTTGACTTTCTTCTTTTGCTTGACTCTATCCGCAGCTTTGACTGTTTTTCCGTCTGTCAACATTTTGACTTAGACACTTCTAACTAAAGAAGGGTTGGTATGAATTCCATACTCTTACCTTCTATCTGGCCCCAGTGAAGCAGTATCATTCTCAATCCATAGAGAAGATAGAGAATATGAGAAAGACTCGGTTTCCATAATCCATAGTTGGGGAAGCTTTATGTGTAATTGAGAGTTACTTGAATTTAATGAATGAAAGCCATTGTTTCTGCACCTGAACCCAGGCCAGCAAACCCCTGGACTATCACAGAAAATTCTTTACATCCACAGCCCTTTAGTCACCTGCCCTAATATAGACGCAGAACTGAGAAGACTGGCTCAAATAAGTGCCTGGCAAAAGCAGAAAAGCCACAAGAAAAAGCCAGATGGGGATTCTCCAAGGGCATCACTGACTTCTGTAATAGAAAAGCAAATGTATCAATCAGCCACAATGAAGCCCAGATTAACCGAAGCAGTGAAAGGTGTGTGAACCTATCAGATTCTGTGACATAGACTCAGAGAAGAACGGGAAAATAAATGCCACAGTAACTCCACACGGAGGCCTCAGTCCAGAAGCAAGACACAGAGACACAAGGAAGTGTCAGAGACCCGCTGCATGAAACCAAGCTCATTGTCAGAGCATGACAGTGGGCCTAACTCAGGGTTCGGTAACATTTTGTCTCTGAAGGAGCTTAAAGATCATCCAACAAAAACTGCATTGTAGAGACTGAGTTAGTACATCCCATTTTATTAAAAATAAACAAAAAATGTCACAGTATATATACTATAGTCTAAGTGGGTGGGTATGAGAACAGAGAAGGGTGTTAACAAATGTAACCATGCTGATTTCTCTGGCCTGAGTGGCGTAAAGGGAGGGGCCCGAAGACAACAGGAGCTCTGAAAGACAGGGGAGAAATGTGGGGAAAAGCTGATCCCATTAGATTTAAAAGGGGGATAGAAG